TAGGCAAGGATACATCTGATAAATAATATCCAAAATATATAAGGAACTCATACAGCTTAACAAAAAGAAGACAAACAATTCAATTAAAAAGTGGGTAAGGGACCTGAATAGACTCTTTTCCAAAGTGGAGATTTAAAAAAGGCCGGCGATGTATGAAAAAATGCTCAAAGTCACTAATCATCAGAGAGATGCAAATTAAAATGACAATGTCAGAATGGCTATCGTCAACAAATTAACAACAACAAGTCTTGGCGAGGATGTGGAGAAAAGGAAAAGCTAGTATACTGCTGACTGGTGCAGCCACTATGGAAAATAGTATGGAATTTCCTCAAAAAAATTAAAAATGGAACTGCCATCTGACCCAGTGATCCCACTTCTAGGAATATATCCTAAGAAACCTGAAACACCAATGAGAAAGAATAATACGCACCCCTATGTTCATAGCAGCACAATTTACAATAGCTAAGATCTGGAAACAGCCCAAGTGCCCATCAATAGATGAACAAGATAAACTAATGAACAAAATAGAACCAGAGACAGAGAAGCATGGAGCAGATGCTCAAACCTCAGAGGGAAGGTGAGGGGAGGGTGGGTGGGTGGGAAGAGATCAACCCAAGAACTTGTATGCATCTATGCATAACTATGGACACAGATAAATTGGGTGGTGAAGGCCTAGGGCAGGGGACGAAGGCTGACTAGAAGAAGTCAATGGGGGAATAAAGAAGAATATGTAATACTTTCAACCATAAAGATTTTTTTTAATTGTATGGCCTAATAATGATGTTATAAATATCCAGCTGGCCCTTGGCAGGAAAAAGGTCCCCACCCCTGCTCCTGCTGTGCTCTGACAGGTGAGCGGAAGAGGTAACTGTCTGCCATGAACTTGACTAACTGCTCTCTTTCAGGGCTGGACTGGTGTGAGGACAACGGAGGGTGTGAGCAGATCTGCACCAGCCGGGTGGAGGGGCCCCTGTGCAGCTGTGTGACGGGCACCCTGCAAGAGGACGGCAAGAGCTGCCGAGGTAGACACCCCAATTCTGGGCTTCAGCTGGGGCGCAGGAACTTCCTCCCACTGAGAGGAGCACGTCATGACAGGCCAAGCAGCCAGCAACAGGCCTATAAAAATTCAGACATTAAGAAGGAAATATCTGAAAAACTCCTAAGAAATTTTAGCACCTTTTTGGGTTTTTGGTTTTTTTAAACCTTTGGGTCCCTACTCTTTTACTAAAAGATGATGATTTTTAAAATCATTTAAAAAGTAATTATTTTTAAAAATAGTATTGACTTTAAATATGGCTGCCAAGTCCACTGGCTGTGGTTGGGAGTAGAATGTTTGATTCAATAAATGCCACTTCCTACAGTCGCCTTAGCTCAGGGTCCCCCGGCGCCACTGAGGCCAGCAGGCACCTCTGCAGATTGGGTTAATTCTGCTTCTTCGTGGTCACATGGACAAAGTGGGTTCTTGGCAATTAGTTGGGAACTGCAAAGATCTCTGATCCTCACCAAACAGGATTTTATAGGGCTCACGATTTGCCTTTCTCTTCGCAGCCTCTAATTCTTCCACTGAGCGTCAAGTCTGGACACTGCTTCTCGTCATGACCCAGATTTCATTATGGCATTTTGTGTATAAATCAGTCACGACCTCATAATTAACTCAAGGTTGCTATATGAAGTACTGTAATTTACGTTTTTCCATTCCCTGTAGAATAAAAGGTGTGTGCCCTTAACTCAAAACCTATTTCAAAGTGTCCAGAATCTCAACAGGATGCCACCTGCCTCAAATGATCAGAGATCTGGAGATGAGTGAAATTGCAAACTCCTCTTTCAAAGTACACAATGGGGCTTCCAAAGCCAGTTGTGGAAAGCATATATCTTGGTAAAAATTTTCAAACAGTTGTCACTAGAAACTGATTCACTCAAATAATCAATAAAGGACAAGATTCTGGTTAGAAACGTCTGACTGGAATCTGAACAGAGAATCTGTCCAGCCCGTGCTGTTTCCAGATCATAGGTTTTACGAAGAGGGAACAATGTGGAGAAGCAACGACTGGGGGACTGACTCCCTCTGAAGACTCTTTCTCAGTTTGCAAGTGTCTGATCTCTGACCTGCGTGTTGCTTCCTTTCTGTATGACGAGCTCCTTCCCTACCCTCGTGTCCTCTAACCTCGCCATGAGCCTGGTCACTGGTATGTTGTTTGCAGACCTTGGGAGCCCTACCCACTTCCATTCCCTCAGACCCAATTCCTTCTCTTTTTATAAATCAACCAAATAATTTTTTAATGTGTTTTATGCTTAAATAAACTTTGTGTTCAGTATTCTCGTTATTTGGTGGCTGAAATCATTCTTACCAATATTGAGCCTGCGCACTAAATAGCAAGCTGTGATTTTAAAAGGAGGCAGAAGCAGCAGCCATGGCCAGGTCTGCATGGCCCAAGCATCACTGCCTTTGTGCACCTGCCTGTGGCACTCACACAGCACTGCGGGCTGTAAGGAATCGCACAGAAGGAGGCAGGCAGCAGCCTCTTTGTAAGTAGTACAAGGTAAACCCACTCCAGGCTTAGTTTGAAGTTGTTTTGGATTTAAGCTAATGGTAATTTTGATTTTTCCTGGAAGTCTGGAAAAAGCTGAGCAGAAATCCTGAGCGTCCTTGAGTGTGGATGTGGATACCGGTCCTGTCTCTCGCACACAGAGGTGCATGGCCCATCCCTGGTGACAGCAGTGGGATGCAGACTGAGTCTGCACCAGCTGCCTTGTATTTTATTGAGAAACAGTATGGAGGTTCCTCGAAAAAATAAAAATAGAGTTGAGGAGGAAGCAAGATGGTGGCATAGGTAAACACCTGTACTTGCTGCCTTACACAACCACATCAAAACTACAACTAAAAGACAAATGGACATCATCCAGAACCACAAGAAGGCTGGCTGAGTGGAAGTTCTACAACTAGAAGTAAAGAGAAAAGTGCTTTGAGACTGGTAGGAGTTGTGAAGGTGAGGAAGTGCGGAGGTACGGAGGTATGCACAGAAACGGGATGGCAACTGGGTACATTGTTGTCTTTTCCAATCGGGAGGGAGATACAAGCTCCAGATTGCTCTGAACTCCAGTTCTGGGGGGCGAGACTCTGGGGATCCAGACTCATAGGGGAAGAAACTGGACTGTCTAGCATTGGCCGGAACGCGAGGGCGACTTTCTCGCAGAGGTGCTTGCAGTGATCATTGTTCCTGCACAGGGCCGCTGGACACAGAGACCCGGGGATCTCTCTGAGGCAGGGCTGACTGGCAGCCATTGCAGTTTGCTACGCCCTGATGATTCCCTGAGACCCCAATTTATAACCCCACCCAAGCTGTGAGCAGAGGCTTTTGCATAGGAATGGCCTGTTCCTATGCTATCTAAAACCTAACAAACTCCTGCTGGGTCAAAGAGCGCCAAAGCTTCCAAAGAAGGCCTAAGGCTCGACAGCAGCCTGCATTGCTTCACAGCTGGGCCTCATCTGGGCACATCCAAACCCCAAACAAAGAGGAGGAATCTGAAGATATCTCTGTAGCTCCTGCTGGGTGGCATCAGGCAGTGGCTGACTTTGCACCTCCTTGGATATCCAAGAGCCAGTGTTCCCTGTGGTCAGTGTGAGACCACACCAGATTACAACTCTTCACATCCATAAGTGACACTCAAGGGGCAGACTCAGTGAGCACCCAAAGCCCCACTGAAACAAATCCTGCCCCATAAGGGTGTCTCCAGCACAGCAGTTCTCCTATTGTAGACACAGCTAGTCCTCACAGCCAATTGGCCTGGTGGTCAATTCCTCCCAGTGATACCAACAGCAGTCAAGGTTTAACTACAACAAGACTGTGCACAAAGCCCACAAAGAGGTGCACCAAGAGTGGCACCTCAGGTAATTAGGGAGGCAGAGCCACTGGGCCCTATAGGACACCTATCACACAAAGCCACTCTATCAACACAGGGAAGCAGCCAAAATGCGGAGACAAAGAAACATGTCACAAATGAAAGAAATGGAGAAAAGCAAACTACTGTATACAGAGATCAAAACCACAGTTATAAGGTTACTCAAGAATCTTCTAGAAACCTCTGAGAAATTTAGAGAGACCCACGAGGATATGAAAAAGGACCAATTAGAAATTAAGCATACACTACCTGAAGTAAAGAATAATATACAGAGATCCAACAGCAGACTAGAGGATTCCAAGAATCAACTCAAAGATATGAAATATGAAGAAGCAAAAAACACCCAACCAGAAAAATAAAAAGAAAAAAGAATCCAAAAATATGAAGATAGTATAAGGAGCCTCTGGGACCGCTTCAAGCGTACCAACATCAGCATTATAGGTGTGCCAGAAGATGAGAGACAGCAAGATATTGAAAACCTATTTGAAGAAATAATGACAGAAAACTTCTCCCACCTGGTGAAA